TGGTGTTTGTCCGTGTTTCTCCCATGGCATCTCCGATCCCAGCCGTTCAGTCGGGTCGGATCCGGGTTCTGAAGCAAGGGTCAGGACCGTTGGTTGGACCGGTAGTGTACTGGATGTTCAGAGATCAACGGATAAGAGATAACTGGGCGTTAATTCACGCCGTTGATGAGGCTAACAAAGCAAATGTACCAGTAGCTATTGCTTTCAATTTGTTCGATCAGTTCTTAGGTGCAAAAGCTAGACAGTTAGGGTTTATGCTCAGAGGCCTTCAAAAACTTCATAGGAACCTCGAAAATACTCTTCAAATTCCCTTTTTTCTATTTCAGGTAAAAGATTTGTTATTCTTTTAAATATATTTTCATATTTAGGTATACTTATTATTTATCTTGTGCGTGTTTACAGCTTAAACTCTTCTTTATTAGCATGTTTTAGTTAATCAGCAGATGAAATTGTCACTAACACCTATATAGTGTAAAACATGTTTTTAAAAAAATATTAACTTAATTATCCGTAAAGCAGAAATGTATCTAATAGATGTTCGTTTCACTTGTTTATTTTGAACGGCATGGATAAATTGAGATTTAGATCATTTCCAGTTTTAGAGAACTCCTTTGAGTTTTAGCATTAGAATGAAATGAGCACGAATACAGCAGAATGGATATTGAAGATTCGTAGAGCTGACTCCAACTAGTTTGAGATTGAGAGTAGTTGATCCATTAATTGATTAGTTATGATCAAACATCATGTTGTGTTTCATTATCTTTTCCGCTGCTCCATTGCATATATGCATATGCTTCTAGACTTTAATTGGCCCATGATTTTGTACTGAAACGTGGAAGATAACCATTATATTGATATTTATTATGGTACATTTTCCGTATATTCTTTTGTCCTAACTTATTAGAAATCCCTCTTAAGCTCATTATGCAATGGCTTGTCTCAAACAGGGAGAAGCTGTCGACACAATTCCCAATTTTCTGAAAGAATGTGGAGCTTCTCTTTTAGTAACAGATTTCTCACCTTTGAGGGATGTGCGGAGTTGGAAGGAAAAAATTTGTGAGAGAGTGAGTGAATCGGTAACAATACACGAGGTTGATGCGCACAATGTTGTTCCTGTTTGGGTGGCATCGAATAAATTGGAATACAGTGCTAAAACCATACGGGGTAAAATAAATAAGCTGCTTCCTGAGTATCTAATCGAATTACCTGCAATAGGGCCTCCCAAGATAAAGTGGTCATCTCCAAACCCTCCAATAGATTGGCCAAAATTAATTGCCGATGTTGTAAGGTCAGATATTCTCTCTGGTCTAACAATGTAGTTAACTTTTATTTTGGCCTACAAATGCTATAAATTGTCCAGTTCACCAGGAAAGGAGCAGAAGTTCCTGAACTTGAATGGTGTGAACCAGGTGAAGATGCTGCATTGGAAGTACTTATGGGAAGTAAAAATGGGTTCTTGACAGCTAGGTTGAAAAATTATTCAACAGAGCGGAACAACCCTCTGAAACCCCAAGCACTTTCTGGTCTCTCTCCTTATTTGCACTTTGGGCAGATATCAGCACAGCGATGTGCTTTAGAAGCAAGCAAAGTTCGAAAACTTTATACCCAGGTTGTGGAATCATATCCATCTATCTATGTTTGTGCTATAATTTTTCTTACTATGAAATCCTTTCTTCAGTCTATTGAATTAGTCGATAAATTACTTGCCTCCTGTTGCGTTATATTTTGTTCCATGACGGAATAGTGGGGGTAAAGGAGAGAAAATTGGGTGTTTTGCTTCACATAGGTGAAGTGTTGATGATTTTTTCCCCATTTCTTTGGTATGGTTTGACAGAAACCTAAGGTGGCATTGTTCCTCCCTTTGTTCCAGTTTTGGGGGAGTTGTGGAGGGATATTCCTTCTCTCCACTTCATCTCAAAATTAAAGTGGCATTGTCCTCGCTTTGTTCCTGTTTTGGGGGGATTTGTGGAGGGATACTACTGCTATCCACATCATCTCAAAATTAAATAAAGTGGTATTGTTCCCTCCCTTCATTCCAGTATTGGAGGGAGTTGTGGAAGGGTACTCCTTCTCTCCACTTCATCTCATCTTTTACTTTCTTATCAAATGCTGCAAATGAACTTCCGGTCCACATTTACTTCCACTCCTCCATTTCATCCTCTTTACACCACAACCAAACATGGCTTTTGTTACAGTTGGCTCATTGACTGTAAGATAAGCTCTGCCGTTGTGCAGTGCGAGTATTTCAAACATATTTGGAACTTTTAGTAGTTGCTCTCATTTTTATTAAGTTTCATATTGCCTCAAGATCGACTATCCATTATCAGTGGCCTGATGTGAAGCTTATTTGATCAATTATTGCTTATGAAGGAAGTTGACGCATTTCTGGAGGAATTGATTGTGCGCAGAGAGCTTGCTGATAACTTCTGCTACTACCAGCCTCGATATGATTCATTACTGGGTGCATGGGAATGGGCACGTAAAACCTTGATGGAACATGCATCTGATAAGCGTGAACATATATACACGTGAGTAAAATGCTTTCTTTTGCTTTTTCAGTAGATAGAGTAAGCAAGAAAAAGAAGAAGCTTCTTAACTATATGTTCTTCGAATCTTAAATTGATAAGAGTTAGTTTGAAGATGAAACAAAATGCTTGTTGTAAGATGCTAGTAACTACTTTTGCGTGGTATTGAAGTTGGAAGTGAATATGGTCTTTTGCAGGCGAGAGCAATTGGAGGAGGCACAAACTGCAGATCCTGTAAATTACCTTTTCATTTTAAATTTTACATTAACAAGCAGTGCCAAAAGAGTGATAATATTATGTAGTGAGGAAAGAGTTATCGATCTGATTTGAAAATCTTGGCATATCACTGCTATTTCATCTGTTGCATTTAGGATTCTAGCAGGATCCTCCTCGCATCTTGCAGTGACATGGCCTTTTTTCCAGTTGCTATGCATTCTAATATGTTTTCCAACTTGTTAGTTGATTAGTTGTTCTTTTTGGGTTTCAGCTTTGGAATGCTTCTCAATTAGAGATGGTTCATTATGGAAAGATGCATGGTTTTATGAGGCAAGTGATGCTGCTGGGCATTTATGTCTTGATCCTGCTAGTTGAATTCATGACAAGTTATTCCACCCTGATATGTTATCTGGTCTTCTACTTCACTTAATTATGCTTGTTTCTTGTATTGTATCTGTTTGGTTTTCAAGGCTCTTTAGAACATGCTTAGGAAGTATAGTATTATTCCATATGAATTTATATGGAAGAGAACCTTGTCTGGCTTAACTAGATTTCTAATGTGATAGAAGTAGCACATGTTAGTTATTCCTTTCAGAAACTGATCTTATCAGCCAAAAAAAAGGAGATGTAGGTTTCTGGTTGAAAATTAAAAAGGAAGTGAAATGAAAAGGTAAGTTGATGAATAGATCTTATCAGCTAAGATAGCAGGGGTTTCCATTTCTTGGTGCTTCTCACTTCTCTAGCTAACATGAATAAGGATCAAAGCTGTCGCATAATGGTATAGAACAAGTCAGCTTTTAGTAGCTTCTTGTTTTCATGCAGTTAAATGTTTTATGGCTACCCTCTCTTTGATTCACCAAGAATTTGGGATCTTCTGCTAATTTTCTGTTCTGTGATTCTACTCTCTGCTCTTCTTCTCAGTAACATTCCTTCATTCTATGATTTTACCATCTGCTCTTTTTCTCAATAACTTTCTTCTTTAATCAAGAGATACTGCTTAAATTCTCGTTTGTTCAACTTCTTTGACCAAAACCAGAAAAGGGAAAAAGACTGAACAAAGTTATTGCTTTTTGCTAAGTTCCAGATTGCGAATTTTTTTGCAGGATGTATTGGGCTAAAAAGATACTCGAATGGACAAGTGGACCAGAAGAAGCTCTGGCTATCACTATATATTTGAATGACAAGGTAATTTGCCAACAGGATTGCTTTTGGAGATGCATCAGAGTTCTGAGCTAAATCTGCTTTCTTTTTTGCAGTACCATATAGATGGAAGGGATCCTAGTGGTTATGTCGGATGCATGTGGTCAATATGTGGCTTACACGACCAGGTTCTTAGTGCATCATGCTCAATCCCTTCAATGTCGCATTAAACTAATTGAGTTATTTTCTTTATTACCTGTCACGCTCTTATCCAAATAATAACATGTGATTACCTCCTCTAGGAAAATACGTATTTACACTCACAAATCAAGCTTTGCAAAATCTAAATACAAAGTGTTACCAACATTGATAATTACTTATCAACCCAATAATAACGCTCATAGTTAATCGGCACCATCCTAGGAGTGGTGGCCTGGTGGGTCGTCAACTGCTTGTGTGGTTCGGGTATGAGGAGAATAAGTTTGTAACATTAGGGAAACTACTTTGTATCATAATTTGTTTGCTTGCATTAAGTAACTGAACTGAGATTTTTCATGTTTGGCCTTTAGGGTTGGCGAGAGCGTCCCGTATTCGGGAAAATACGGTACATGAACTATGCAGGTTGCAAGAGGAAATTCAATGTGGATGGATATATTTCATACGTTAAAAGACTAGTAGGTGAAAGCAAGAAAAGAAAAGCAGAAGTATTTTTCGACAAGAAGGCCAAGGAACTGCGTAGTTAACATTTCAAGCTCCCCAAACCTGTTAGTTTATGGATATTGTCTACTGATTTGAAGGAGGTATTATATCCCCAAGGGCGAAAACTACATTAAAATCATGGATTGTTTGGCAAAATACAATGTACTTCATTGTACTATTTAACGATGCACTCCATTTTTTTGTTACTTGGAAATGTTTGAGTAGTATGGAATTTTGATGAATATTTACTATTAGCAGTAGCAACTTCTCGACCCCAACTTGTTTGGGACTGAGACGTAGTTATACATGTTATTTACTAGTAGCGACTGCTACACATTTAAGAATTTTTTTGGTTCTTCGAATTAGGAAATCTTCATTTTATTATTCTCTAAATTTCTAACTCTGTGCGGAAAAGAGATGTGAAACAAGAAAGAGTTTCTAACAAAAGAAACACCAAATTACAGCATTTTTCTTCGAAATGGCCCTCTATATTAACAGAAATGACATTATACACACAATGCAGTCTTGAATGGGACATAAAAAAATGATACAACACACCCAAAACCCCATTTTTTTTGGCACATTGATAAAGCATTACTTGTGGCATAACATTCTAGGGAATCTGAATGCTCCTGCAACTCTGCATTACCCTTTCAGCGTGCCAGACATCTACTAAAAGACGTCAAAAATGGAAATGAATCAACGTAGTTCGGTATGTTTACAAATGGAAAGGTAGCCTGGGAAATAAGAGAATTTGCTTGCAATCTCCTCCAGCAATTCATTTTTAGATCTGCAAATCATCCAACGAGAGTTCATCTGCAGTCAAGAGCTTTAATTTCTGCAACACAATCAACCATCACAAGTCAGTATGGGCATTTATATCTTAAACTTTAACACTGATACTGGACTATCAGTATTCCAGCATATAGAACTAGAAAAGGTACATAGTAAAGCTCAACAACTAGTTCTCCAATTGACAAATCATGGAGTCCAGACGGTTCATGTGTCTCCTGCTTTTCTACGAAACATTATTTGTGGTCCAAAGTAATGCAAGAGAAGCAGGTATTCAAAAAACAACATAAAACAAGATTCAGGAACTCGAAAACAAAAAAGCAAGCACCTTCCAATTCTGTAGAAAACAATAATTAGCAGTATGGGAGGAAGCAGATGGAGTGTCATACCGTAATGAATTGTGGAGGGTCATCGAGGCTAGATGAACCAAGAACTACTTCTCTCTTCAACTTCGTAGTTAACTTATGACAAGCCCGCAACTGAAACATAGAAGGAAATAACTTTGAGATTAACGCATGTTATATTTAATCTAAAACATTAAAATCCTACCAAGAAAACCAAATAAGCCTAGAATAGGAAGTGCAAAAGATTGAGAAAATAATACCTCTGATCGCGTAGCCCCACCAACTATAAATACAAAAATACGTTGACCCATTTTCTTGAAATCACTTGATGCATGCCTCAGAATTGAATCACTACAAGAAAATGAAAGAATTCAGACTGCTAATCCCCTCAGGTGCAAGATGAGAATGGGCAAATGTGCAGTGAAAAGGGAAAACAAGCACTTCCCGTCAATAATTGCCTACTGTTGGCACAAATGATATCAAGACGTATAATGGTCAGGTGCAATAAGATGTACCTCGAATATCCATCATCAGAATTTCGAGGGCGGGCCCACGTAGCCGTCCTTCTTGATCTCATTGAATGGGGAGTTGGAACTTGATTTGCTTGTACTGATGCAGACTGAGAGGTCCCATGGAAAGTTGGACTTGGATCATTCATGCAGGGATAGTCATTCTTTGGTAGTTCCCCTTTACTGAGTTTTTCAACAAGTTCCTGCAAGATTAGAAAAGCTTTGATCAGTTATCTCGACCAACACAAAGCAGTATCTTCAGTCTCTAACTTGTCCCAACCCATCAATGTGATGAATTACAGTGTCCGGACCCTGATATTAGATTTTCTTCTTGCTGTCGCAGCTAATAGTCATGTCCCACTTCTTTTGTTCTGTTTTTCTTTTCTGTTTTTTTTTTGTGTGTGTGTGTGTGTGTGTGGCGGGGGGGGGGGGTTGGAGGATGTGAGGGGAGAGAAATGTGGAAGGGACCTCAATTGTCAAGCTTATTGACATATTTGGCTTTGTATCTAGAACCATGACAACTAAACATAGTCAGAATCAGCCATTCATAGAAATGGTGTCATAATACACCCCATGTCGCCTATGGCCTACCTCTATCATTGGGTAAAAACGAGACAACTGCCATGTCGCTGCTTCATCAGTACGGTCTTTTCTAGCAGCGTGCTTCTTCTGTCATAAAAAATAGAACAAGGAAATCTACATCAGAAGGAGCTCATCACGAATGAAAACTATTTGACAGCCAATTGTGTACCTTGTGAACGTCAAACTTGAGAGAGAAAGGTCCTAGTAAGCTTTTCTTATTATCTGATGATCCCTCCAGCAATCTCATATTGTACACAGCATTCATGTCATCTTGGGGCAATCTCGCCAACTAACGGGATAAGAATGTGAGTGCTCATATATATAAAGTAGTCCCCATAGATTTAGAGCAGCGTTGTCAACCATTCAGAATAGTATTAAAGTAAAATAGTCAATGCAGTTCCAGATGACACAAGTTAACATGAAAAGGAATCAGAATTAAATAATGCCTATATGAGAATTCAAATCAAACAGCAAATTTGTGTTTTGGACCATTGGGGAGACCATAACATGCAGTAGCGACCACTTTATTCAGATTTTCAAGCTGTTAATAGTTCACCCAAGATAAAAAGAATCTCCACATATGGTGATACTTATTCGAAATAGATATTAGAGATGACAACAACAAATCACCAACCTCCATTAACTTGGAGAGTTTGTCGCTTTCAAGCTTCTCAGGATGAACGGCTGCATAAATCATCAATAACCGTAACTTGTTTTCCCGTGTCACATCCTGCAGACGGAAACTAATTGCTCAGATAAACAGATCTACATTATGGAGGTCTAACAACCTTATACCATCTCTACCTGATTAACCCTCAGGAAATTGATCAGATCCTTAGTTCCTGCGTCTCCGAAAACAAGGTTCTGCTCTAATTGTCCAATTTCTTTTAGACTTGACTCCCTAATAATTCTGTTTAGCTTCCCAGCAATCTGGATTAGGGAAAAAAGGCATGGCCATCAGAACACTGATGGCGTCTTCAATAAAAGGTTTTATCCACCATATCCACAAAACACTGAATTAATATGTGCTCAAGTAAAGCATGACCGGTTAAAGGTTATTCCGCCAGCACACATAAAAACAAAGAATTACTCTACAGCTACTCACAACGTCCCCTGACCACTCACCATCACTAAGAAACTCTTCCTACCAAAGATAAACTCATAGATCACACAGAATATTGTGCTAACTCAAGTGAAGCACTAGAAAAATACAGTGTGTTTTAGTACTTGCAAGGGTCAATGGATCTTTTCAGCAACCTGTTCATGTGCATTTAACTTTCTTTTTTTCTGGATAAGATGTGGCAACGATTTATCAAAAGATGCCATCTTTTCTGGCACTTGTTAGGAGCATCTAGATGTGTTTCTATATATGTCTCCCTCTCTATCTAATACAACAGAGTTTGGCTAGACATAAGAATTGAGTAAATCTGACTAGCAGCCTCTTAGAAGAATAAGAATAAGAATTCATTGGAAGATAAAATCAGCTCGTCTGGCACTCTTAGGGATAATGGATGTTGATCAAATATATTTCACCTCCATTTTTATGTTGTTTAAGATAGTTTTGACTAGGCACGCTGAGTTAATTTGACTTGCATTTTATATAAGTAGAGTAATGTTAATATAGCTGGAAAAATAATAACTTCTCCGAAGGAAATCTGGACTAGATGAAACATGTTAGCATAGAATCCCAAATGCCTGTAGTTTTTTCATAAACAATTTTTAAAAATTTGGATGTAATTTAACTACTAGTTTTAATCATCTTCCTTCCAAATTATGTGCTAATGCCAAAATGGTAGAAAAGTTCTGACAACTTCACCTAACTTGCACACATGACGTAAACCCATATTATGCACATTTAAATGACCTGCAATTTGCCATAATACCAGAATAGACATGATAAAATTACACAGAGAGCAAGAGCCTACATTAGTTCACAATTAGGCTTAGTGAATTACATAAACAGTGTTTCTTATCCAGAAAAGCAAATGACAGAAGCATATTTAGTTGCTTTACATTCAAAAGTGCAGATAAAGCATCAAATTTCAGACTTAAAAGATTAAACCACCAAGTGAAATTTTCAGAAGACTCACATCAACATGGAGGGAAAGCTTCTCAATTTGTTCACTGTATTGAGGTAAAGCCTGAACCATCTTTTGCAAATCCCGTGTAGATAATTGACCACCATCTCTACAATTTCGAGAAAAGTGGAGTAAGCAACATAACCTATCAGAGTTAGAATCTAAGGAATTGGGGGGAAAAAACAGTGCCTGGATGACCAAACTTGCAGGTATTTCCAGTTTACCCAAATAAAAATAGGATCTCATGCTGCAAACTGTTTTAGGATTGACACATAAATGGATAAGACGTTTTCTAGTAGATGAAAATAGCCTAACAGGTGTTCAACTTGTAAATATGAAGTTTTCGATTTAGAATTCTACAGCATCTCACATACTCTCAGGTCCCATATTGTCTGAATCAACCAGAATCCCAGATGTCACCTCTTGCAGATCGCATAGATTTTCAATTTGTATCATGACAAAGCATTTTCGCTCACACACTCAAGTGAAAACGTTTAGAAAAGGTCTCACAAATTGCGTTAATTGCGACTGACCTTGAACCTTGATGCATTTGAGCAGCTTTATTTTTTGACACAAAGTTTGTCATCTTCTCATGCAACCTTTCACTAGCCTGACAAACCAATTACTGGTTAGAGATAGCATAAACACGTTCTATTCCTGATTTAAAAGCTAGCTATGCACAAGACCTACATCTGCAATGTGTGCATGGCGGAGCTCTAACCAGATAGGATCATGATCCTCCAAAAGAACCTCTTTCTTCTCAGGAGGGCCACCTGCTTTGCCAGGAACCTAGCCTTACAGTAAAATGTCACTCTTACGGTATATTCAACAGCATTTCCATTATAGAGACTCAGAAGGCACAACTCACCTCATGCACATATTTATTTCCCTCCATGTTTAACAAGTCATGGCACATTGCGTCATATGTCCACTCGTGTATAATGGGAGCAATCTGTAAAACAGAGGGTGACAGAGAAGCAACTCAAGAAAATGAAAACTAGACAAGATTACAATGAGAATGGAGGAAACAACATCAACTAAAACCTGGTCTACTGATCTATCCAGAATAAGCAACTCGCATGTTTCTGTCTGTGGAAAGTGAGGAAGAGTAGATTTGTACTTTGTAAGAGAATTCCAAACAGCAGCTGCAAGCTTCGTAGGAATTAAATCCCGAAAGGTTGTCATGGTAGTAGGATCAAGCGATTTCGCAGCACGGTAGCGCACATAAGGAAATTCCTGTAGAAATTAATTTTAGCAAGGGCGTCTCCATGCTCGAAAGCTCCAGATCAAGATCTAAATGCTTACCCGTAACGAAGCAAAAACTGTAGCAATACGGTTGGCCATCACATTCAAACACAAATCACCCTTCCGAGAACCTTCCTCATCTCCATAAAGTTCTTCAAGCGCCCTCTCATTATCGGTGGTAAAACACTGTAGGGTACTATGCATGTGTAAGAAAGTGATAGATCGATTACAAAACCTCAGAGAGATGGTTTATCAACCTATAGGACCATATTAGTAAATTATACAAAAGAGTTCCCCAGACAATGCATTGCTGAAGGGCCACCTTCCCCTCTATAATCTCATTTCTCATTCAGATTAACGACAAAAGATTTAGTAAGAAGCTCTGAAATTCCTGGAACTGACAACTATGATACAGTTGTTAAACTCTAGATATATACAACAATGTCACTTTTGTTTTCATGTTGAATCATTTCAAGTTGTTAATTAGATGACCCATAGAAAGTAAGAAATGCGAGCTATGAAAAGATTTCACTTAATCAAATATGGACATGCCTTCACTATGAAAGAACTAAAGTGGATTGAAAAGAATGACTTAGGAAAAAGCTCCAGACTGAGCCCACGGCTTTCATTCAATGGTAACAGCGTAGCTCAATGTCTAGGTTAGACACATGTGACGAGTTCGAACCCTACCGTGGGCTCATTATCCATCGAGTTAGAAGCTATACGCCAGCTGTCCCTTGAGCATTTTTCGGTTAAAAAGCTCATACTAGGTGATAATTCGTGCGTGTAATAACTGCACGGAAGAGGATAAAAGTGCTTGAGAGCCAAGGGGATATGGTCAGGATATCAAATAAATAATTGGACCTATCATGTTCTTTTTTCCTTTCACATGCATACACCATGGAAGGAGGAGAGGAATTGATACACTACATAAAGTTCCTTTGTTATTATGTCCTTGCTCTAAATAATGAAAGAAAAGCAAAGTTCAGGTAAGACATCCAACTGGGCATGATGTTATTTAACTCTGGTTCTTCTAAAATTATCAAGAACAAGGATCAATCCATTTTGCAACCTCATAGACCAGTATTCTATACAACCCCAGGGGAAAATCTGCTGGCAAAACTATGCCATATTTAGAGCTGTTGCATCGAAATACCTTCTTATAAGAGAAAGTAACAGTCAAGCAGTTTACTATATTACAATATGGTCCTCGGTTTCCTGCAGTATCAATGATAACAAAGGAAAGCCCCCCAGAACTTACATTCTCTAGTTAAGAACAGGAATCAAAGCAGAGTAATCACAAAAAATTCATGACCTTCTGAGTGATGCATCATCACATACCTGGATATCATTAGCAAAATACTCCAAATTCATCTGCACAACAAAACCCTCAATGAGAACTGTGACCAATTAAAGCAATAAGAAGTAAAAATAGCTGAAGAAAAGACTTCACAAAAGAAGGATGATAACTTCTCTCAAGGCACCAATGCGAGACAGAACACTTGAATCCCTCTTTATGTAACTAACCAACTCTTTAGCAATAGGTGAACTAAAGAAGACAAATGCCCTGAAAGGAAATGAAGAAGAGTAGAGGATGAGAGAGAAAGAAAGGAGAAGCGATAACCAAGCAAATCAGACTCTGGCATATAAGATATTAAGGTTTCCCTATCCTTTTGACAAAGTCAAGTTTCCCTCTATCTTTAGAAAGGGAAGCTAAGTTTTGACAATCAGGCTTTAGGATATAGAGAATAGACCAAGTTGAGATAAACAGCTGGCTTCTCATACCATGAATATTCATATGTGCATTGGGACCTTCTCGTCCTCATAAAAAGGATAGAGGCCTAAATGTGGGTAACTTATTACACAGCTGTCTTCTCACACAAATTGCATTTAGGTGGGACTGTATGTGCACTATGTTATAGTGCATTCAGTAAAAGAAAACGTGGAATTTCACAAAGAGCAATCTATCTTTAAGTTAATTACTGCATAGGCCAATCTTGATAGAATCTTACTAGTCTAGAAAAAAGCTCCTAGATATAAGAGAGGCAGAGAGATTGGACGTACGGGGTTAAGTGAGAAAACGTTTTATCAACTTAGACTTGGAGCAGACAATTCTTCTCCCAAAATGTCCTCCGCCTATACATAGTATCTTTTTCCCCATCAAACAGGATGTCAAGTAACTTCTTTCTTTCAATTATATGAATTAGTGCCTTTATAGCTATAATACATGGATTCATTATTTCTATCAAAAGGAAGTTAACAAACTAGAGCACACTTGTCAATAAAAACATATGACCAAGACAAAAGGCAATGAGAATGGAACTCAAGAATAAGATATTTCAGGACGTACTTTCTGTACAAAGGTGATTTACCAGCCATGTCAGATAGAAACATCACAACACTGCAAACAAAATAAAAGGTTAATGACAAGTTCTGCATGTGTAAAGACAGAGAAGCTACCTGTACATATTTAAATATAGATCAACAGCAAGCCTGATATTAGTAACAAGTACATAAGGGCTAGCTTAGTAATAACAACACTTATCAACAGAAGTTCTACTAATAGCGTCACAATAATCTTTGGTGATTTTTTTTTTCAATAAGGTAACAAATTTTATTGATAATGGGAAACATCCCATATACAAGCGGTACACCAAAAAGTAGAGAATCTACATATAATCTTTGATGATTGCGGCAAGACGAAATGAAAAGATCCTTCTATATCGAAATCTCAGTTGAAAAAAATAATAGGAAAATTTGTGGATCACCCTTGGAGAAGAACCAAAACAGAATGGTAGGTAAAACCTCTATTACAAATGGAGCTTGCGATAAGAGTGATTAAACCAATTGCTCGTAATATCTGTGTCCCCCTCTAAACTCTGCATGATAACTTATGTTCAAAGCAAATTCATAGACAAGATAACCTTTAAATGACGTGCATAGATAAGATTGCCTATCAAAAGGAAAAGATTAAAAAAAAACATTCATAGACAAGATACAAAGCCATACTCCTCCGTGATCAGGGTAAAAAATTCATGATAAAAAAAACAAAAATTATCACATACTTAACATGCTGAAACCTCAAAAGTTCTTAGTGACCCCAATTTAACTTCTATCGTCATACATTATGCTGAAGGATACCAAAACTGAAAGCAGAATAGATTTATTGCTGGTCATGCATCTATAAAAGTTTACCCTACTTATAAAAGAAAATAATGAAGTAGAATAGATTTATTAAGAGCATATTGATTCATATTAGAATAAATGGTATAAGTCTTCCCCGTCCCATTTATGTGACATCATTTGACTGGATAGGATTATAAATGCTAATTTTATGGGTATATCATATTGGTCAAAGTACATGAGTTAAAAGGAAAGCACTACAAGAGTTCAACTCTGAATAGTTCAGTAATTCAAATTCTAAATAATTTGTGGAATTTGTAAAAAATTAGCATTGATGATTACATTGTGCCAAATATAAAGATTCCAAAATGGAGGTGTAACGATCAAACTCAACAAATGTAATCAACTAATTCCATAAATACTTAAGCACCCAGAATTTATAAAAATGCTTATTTGCAGCATTTTGCAACCTAATGTTGTTTCTTTTTTGTGATTTGCACTCTATCCTTTTATATTTTTATGACTACTTAATATCTTCATTTTTCTAAAAATACGGAGTTCTTTGAGTTGCACTCTCAGTACATGCTTCTTGCACCCTATCATTTAATTTTCTTTTTGGGAAGCCTATCATTTTATTTTCTTCTAAGAAAAATAACCATGAGGTGGTGCAAATCAAGCACCCTGAGGGTACAAAACGAAAAGAACTTAATTTGCAACATAAAAGCATAAAACTAAAAATGCTAGACGATATGAAAGATTGAACTATAAGGAAGGCAAACACAGAAAATATAAGGGGAGCATTCAGTACTTTTCTTTTGTTGGTTGGATGAAGCATATAGCATCCATTTATGAGAAAAATAACCATGCGGTGGTGCAAATCAAGCACCCTGAGGGTACAAAGAGAAAAGAACTTAATTTGCAACATAGAAGCATAAACCTAAAAATGCTAGACGACATGAAAGACAAACAAAGAAATTACAAGGGGAGCATTCGGTACTTTTCTTTTGTTGGCTGGATGAAGTATATAGCATCCATTGAGGGGAGTGGCTGCCGTCGTTTGTATATGTCTTCAACCACTGCAAAAAAAACATCAGAAGCGGATGCTTTTAACGATCAAGTTCAGCATTATACAAGAGAGGTAACCAGTGAATTTACATAACCCCACACCTCCACACTGAAGACCCAGCAGACACAGTCAGCAATTGCTATTTCACTCGTTCAAGATCAATTTTCATTAACAATCATCCACCAATAGACAATAGTAACAGACAAACCACAAGATCAGAACATGCTATGGTGTTGTCCCATGAAACTTTTGTTAACTGCTACATTCTATAGCAATAAGACTTTGTTTTATATTCTTCCTCAGGCATTAATACATGTTTCTCTGGTCCAACTTTAGGTTTGACAATCTTTAACAGAAACGGGAGAAAAGCACCAGGCGACCAGTAAAAGATAAATTGCACCTACACCTTCAGAGGAAAAGATAATAATCCGCAGAAGTGTCATGAATAAGGTAATTTTGCACTTTATATATATGGTAAACTGGAAAATGTAGCTTGCTAGAATAGAAATGCACAAAAGTAAAAACACTACATCCTATTCAGTAACGTAAAAGGTGAATAGGTTGAAGAGGGCAAGATCATAACTGTAAGTCTGTAACAGAGATGTCACCCGCTACATGACACCACCAATATCATTTATGTTCTTTACTTCATTCTGTGACGCTACAAGCATCATCTTCTATACATTCCAGTGAAACTTTTAAGACCACATAAACCTAGGAAGAAAAGAAAACAATTTGCATATTTAACTACATGTCGAGAGCCATCTATACAATCTGGACACGGAAAACATTCGTATGTGTAAGTGTATACACAAATACATAAGTACGTCTCACATCTGAAAGCATGTTAACCTTATACACAAATTTATTCTTTTTTGTTTTGATAAGGTAAACTTATAGACAACCATCAATTAGACTGGTTTTTTAATACTTACATGAAACTCCTTCCTCTGTAATATCTGCCATCTTGCATGCGTATGACATTATTTTAACGGTTAGTTTGTCCATGATGAGTACCTGCAGGATAGAGGATCAATCAATAGAAGAGCTGTCTATGTGTTTCATCGAACTGTAGTCTTTCGGAATTTAATAGAAGTATTTCCAGCCACTTCGAAAAAAAGTGAGGGCATAACCTTGTCATGAATTGGTATATAGACTTCTTACACTTTTTATAACAACGATATATGACAAGCACCAACAGAAAGCACGAAGTTGAAAAACCCCAGGACGAGAACCTGAGTCTATTTATGTAAATATCTGAGGTGTGAAGTAACTAAAATGCTATAATTCCCAAAAGAGAAAAAAGGTTGAATTAAAGGTGATCACACCATAAATGCAACAGTAGCAGCATGTGGAAGTGCAACAAAAATCATTTCTAACCTCAAAGGCAGCAGATTTTGTTGGAGGGTGTGTGATGGCAGAAGAGTACAATTTGTACCATAAATGATATCTATGAGATCTTACACATAAGACGAAGTTCCTAACTTTTTCCGAAAAATAGTTCCTAAAGAATACTTATAAGCAACATTCAGTGTCATAAAGCTAGGAGTTTTAAAATTTATATCATTGAATAGATAAGGAACACGCTTTTCATTTGAAATCACATAATTTCCAGTGAAAATTTTCATAAATTCTCCAAATTGTGAAACAGATTGTAGTCGCTCTACCTTCCATGCTGATTTTGAGTCTTTTGACTTGGCTGACCTGAGCATTTCATATAGTAATCCTACAAAATATAGAAAGAAGTGGATGGAATAGGTTGATACAAACAGAATATTAGACGAATACACTTCACTGCAAGTGAGAATAAGTGGCGAAGGAATAAGACTCTTAAGGCAGAACTTGAGATAATCATTAATTACTAACAAACACATAATTTATCATGTATTTCTCATAAGGCTGCATTAGTGCAACTTGAGAGCTCTATTTGTAAAGATAGTAGAAAATGATTAACTGGATGGAGACCTATAGCAGATCCTGAAGTGCATTAATTAGCAACATGCTGACATGAAATCATGGCGGAAAGAAGCAAGTAACAACTCCAAAAATGAGAACCCTTTTCCCATCACAAACATCATAAGTGATCAAAAAAAATTTAAAAAAATAAATAAATATCCCAACTGAATATTGACAAATTCCTCTTAGAGCCACTCATCTAAAGCTTAGTCATATTTCAACAATTCTTGGTTTTTAGCAACATACTTCAATAATATTCTGCTAGATGAAAAGGGAACTAGAAAGGAAATTACGCGTTCAGTCAGAGTGCTGGAAATTATGCGTTCAGTCAGAGTGCTTAGCTAAACAGGCAAACAAACAGGGAGGCCGTTGTGACAGGCGCAGACAATTTAGGTTAAGATGTGTATCAACATCGTAGCTACTTCTTCGCTCTTTAGTTGCAAAGCATTTCCATTTACTCCTAGGGTGTCAATCTTTCTCTTATATGGTAAAGCCCCGTTCTCCCAACCCTCCCAAGCAGGAGTCAACAGTGGTCCTTCCCTCTTTGCTTCCTCGTTGTCTCAAACTCCCAACCTGTTGATTGGAGGTAGAGTGTTCTTGTCACTAGAGCAGCCTCATTTGTCTATTCCCAGGGTGACAATCTGCTATATTCCCTTATAATCTTAGTGCAACATCGGCAAAACAATTAAGCAAGGTGTTCAATTGAGTGAAAAGGATATATAGAACTCATATAATCGACTCGAACTAGTTTGAAACTGAGGCTAGTTGATTGACTGAAGGATTATTCAGTGGATGCCGCAAAAGCTTTCCTTATCCTTTTCTTGGTAAAACAAGCTGTTCAATGGTTTTCAGCTCCTTAAATGAGCATCCTCACGTCATAACCTCATTATATCTAACAACTGTTTGTTTGCTTATGGCCAATGGGCTCCTGCCATTGCTAGGCAATCATTTGACTCATCTCTCTATCTCTCTCCAAAACAGGGGAAAAAACACTAGTCACAAGTCCATTTTAAGTCTTGTCTATGGTCCACCTTATTTTGGTTTTAGTGCCACTAATCTTGCCCTCCGCCTCCAGCTAACGAGTGCTAAGGAGTGACATTTTACTGCTGGCAGTAATAAGACTCCACGCTCGCTGACTTCAAGCATTTTAGATGCTTGAAACCAAATGCCAACCCCAGCAGAGCCACCTCTAGCACCTATTCAAGCCAACTCTGACCTTGAACAACTGTAACTTCAAAATCTAGATTATGCTGATGATTTTGCAACATGGTGCTAGATGAAAATACGAGAGATTCCCAGGTTTGGTTGGCTAGCAAGTCTGAATCTTTTTCTGTTAGTAGTCCCTATATATGATTCCTACAGCAGCCAGCTGATTGGGCCTCGGAAACTGATTTGCAAATCTATCGTTCCATCTAAAGTTTCATGTTTTGCTTTGGTAGCAGCAAGGGAGAATGTCTTACTCAAGATAAATTGAAGAGGGGTATTTCACTATGTAACAGATGCTTTCTTTGCAGTAGTTCTTTGGAGAATTGCAGCCATTTATTGTTACATTGCAGCTACACTTGGCAGATTTTGTCTCTATTTCTCAACCTGTTTGGAGTAAGATGGGTAATGCCACAAGATGTCAAGCAACTTCTACTATGTTGGGAAGGACATAGGGTGGACAGCAGATGCAAATAGATTTGGAAGACTATTCCCATGTGTATGTGTATCATCAGGACTGTGTGGCTTGAAACAAAAAGGATGTGTGTTGAAGGGAAGGGTGAGAATATTTCTTTTGCCAAGTTTAAATTCTTACAGAACTTATAGTTCTGATGCAAAGGAAACACATTAGGATAGTATGTAACAGTTTTTGGATTTTTTTGGACTCTTTGAGTCAATAGCATAAACTGATATTCTGCTTCTTTTGTACTCTATTTCATACCTTCTTGGTATAGATATTAATAAAATTACCTCACCTTATCAAGAAAAGTAAAAAGAAATGTAGAGCCCGTTGTCGATAGGAGAAAAGAGGAAAAAAATAGGACTCAAGCTTGGAGTTGATGGCTTAATAATAACTCTTAAGTCCAAAAAATCATTGGGGCTTAGGTAGTGCAAGTCCAAATGGGTAAAAGAAAGTCGCACTTGTTCTCAAAGTCCACAAACATTGTCTTGGGCCTAGACATATCCCGCCTAAGATATTACGGAAGTTCTAAAAATAACAAGTAGAACGAACTTGTACCAAAAGCGAGAAGTCCAAACTAGGGCAGTTGTTTGATATCTAAAATAAGGCATCACATTTAAGCAACAAAGTATAGAACTGGGTGTTTTCTATGATCCCTATTAACAATATAGCATGTTCAGAAATTATCTTATGCAATGAAATTGCTCATACAAGGATAAAAGGTAACATTGTTTAAGTCCATTCAAAGGATTAACGCATTAAAATTCAGAGATAAAGTTGTTAAAAAGGAAGTCTAAACATTGCAAGACGAATGCGATACTAGTCTAAAGCCCCTATATTCTGAATCATCAACATCTGACCAGAAATATATATCTAACTTAAATCTATACATTATCTGATGTCGTATAATCTTGTCTGACAATCATGATTACAATACCATCTCGGTTTGTTACAACCAACAATCATTTAACTCAATAATGCATATTTGCATGGTTCTTATTGGTGTATGAATGACATGCCCCAGAGGTTAACTTCCCTATCACTACATTTGTGTTGACCATGACTTCCTTTAAAATCCCATGCCAAAAACTGCCCTGACAAGACACTCCATCCAGAATTTATTTCAAACTTGGGAGATTGTGGATGTTATGAAGTGTAAAGTAATGATGGTTTTAGATTTAATAATTTCCAAAACAATCCTTTCTTGTTGAGGCATTTAGATAATCCAATCATTTGTCCTAGCATTTTCTTGTTGAGGAGTTTATAGTTTCATATGTAGTGGCAGAGTCAGTTTTATGAGTTGCATGCCGTCCATCCGACAGAAAATGACCTACTGTCTTTTTCAGTTCAACCAATAAACTTGACGTCTCTCTTTAAATAATAAGGGGTCAACGAAAAGGTATGATGGATAAACAAAAATAATCTTGGGATAAAAATTTAATACAACCTTATGTTTGGTTACTAATCCTGGGATAAGTTATCTCAGGATTAAAAATTGTACTGAGATAACTTATACCTGCCAGCGGGTAGAATAGTAATCTCAGGATAAGTTATCCCAGGATAACGCAGTAAAATTGACAATAACCAAAATTAATACAATATACCAAACATCAATAAGAAATAATACCAAGGTAACTAATCCTAGCATAACTAATCTCGGTATAACTAATCCCAGCATAACTAATCTCAACATAACTTGTCTTCAAACCAAACGACCCCTAAAAGTCCAGTTAGTACTTCCTAGATTTTATAGAGTAAATATTTCTTTATTACACTAGTTACGATTACTCCAGATCATTTTCTTAGCTTACACTAGAACAAAGGGTATCATTTCAAGCTCACATTGTTAGTACGGTGAACAACCAAGTAATCTACAGTTGATGATGCTGGACATAGTGAATGATAAAAGCCGCAACAGTTGTCTGGTAATCTAAAGGAATTTACACATGAAGAATAAAACTCTTAACCATTTTCCAGAAATGGAGACTCAGCACCAAATATCCTGAGGTTCATATGCTTCCCACAATATTATGCAACATTATAGGCTGCAGAAGCCAAATCCAACACCATAAACCTCCGCCGCCAATTTTATTATACTACCACCTAGATGCAGTAAAAAAATCTTACTTTAATACAAGACTTCAAGACAATCACATCAGTTAACAATAAAATTCTAAGTTTTTTATAACCGCGAAATCAACAGCCTCCCTATAGGGGTAAGGTCTGCATTCACACTACCCTCCCCAGACCCCACTTGTGGGATTATACTGGGTTGTTGTTGTTGTTTATAACCGCGAAATCCCCAAGGGCTAGTGACATCACCGTTTGAAACTCGCTGGATAATAGGCTATGCCGCCTACCCTTCTCCACTTAAATAGCAAGATTTTGCCTGCTGCAGGGTTTAAACACATGAGGTAGCCTAATTTTAGGTCACTGATAATGAATATAACATACTATCCTGAGGACTCGTGTTCATTTCAATCCAATACTCCAACATTTTATCTTCCACAAAAAGAAAAAAGAATCAAGGACTTCGCTGATTACATCACCAAACACTAATTCTCAAATGAACATAAGCAAGTTCACATAAATTAAGCATCCAATCATTCAACAAACTATGCCTCAATTCCCAACTAGTCCGCTCCGCTTTATTCTAGCACATTTCATTACAATAACGGGAAACAATTTGTCTTAAAATTTTAAGGATCATTACAATTTGTTTTAAAGAAAAATCATTCAGTAGCTACAAATTTTTTTTTTTTTTTTTTTGAGATGGAAAGTAGCTACATAAATATATGTTACAGATTTCAAAAGAAGCTGGAGTAATTATAATTCCTCACAACACATTTTACGAGACTGGATCAAGACGATACATTTCTATTCAACTAAAGCTTTGATCATTAATACCCTTAAAGTAAGCACCAAAAAAGGCTGAAATCATATCATTTGGAAGCAAAAAGTTAAGCAAATTAAATTGAAGCAAATTATGTAAATAAAATACTCACTGTCACGGGAAACTTGCCGGAAGTACTTGTAATCGCTTCCCTGCGACGATGTATCGGAATCAGACATCGACATTTTTTAATTCTCACCGACAATAGTTTCAATTATATGTATGTATATCTCTCTCTTTGTGAGCTTTAATAATGGATCAATCAAACAGATCGCTGTGACTTTGTGATCGAATTTGAAATTCTCAGTGGTTTAACAATCAACAGAGAGAGAGAAAAAGGGGTTGAGTCGTAATATGAGGTAAATTTCGAACGTTGACTGTTGAAAGCCCCAAAGTTGAATTGTCTCCGACGCTATGACTATGACCCGATATTCACATTGTCGGGAGATTGAACCGGGTCGAACGGGTATGTAGCCGCCGTCCAACGCCGTTTCGAAAAGAATAAAGTGGTTTCAGATACGCGGTCAAATTATCTAATTTGTAGTCTCATTTCACATTTACAGTTGTTAATCTTTTACATATTTGAAAATTATACAAGTACTTTAATTCTTCATTTTTTAGAATAGACAAATTCAGCAAGTATTTAAAAAATTAGAAAAAAAAAATATTTGAGTCAAAAATAGTAATAATGTCATGTAAAATAAAATAAAGTGAATATTCCCATTTAAAGAACCAAAAGAATTTTATTATACTAGTACAAGTTTTATACTTTCTCTGTTACAATTTGTTTGAATCTTTTTGGAGTTCAGTGTAATTTGAATATAAATTCTTTAAGTTTTTTTAAAAAAAATAAATTTTATATATTTAAAAATTATATAAAAAGTACTATAAGCCATAAATAATTAATAATTTAAAATATTTGAAAGTTATTTGCAAAAAATATAATCAAGGAAAAACTTGTTTGGGTTCACAAGTACTAGTAATAACTTCATTCTTTTCAAAACGGATAGATTAGAGTATTATTTTTAAAAGACCAACTATAAATAATTGTGACATACTAGTTTTTACATGATCTATAAAAATGTATATTTTTGAAATGTCTTTCAGCGGAAGTCATACGAAGCTTTGTTTTGATAGGGAACAAAATAGAATGTTCACAAAGGAAACTGCCAGGAATATGTAGCTAGGGCCTAATTAGGAAAGTCTGGAGAATTACGGTTAAACACCTGGCTTTGATTGTTTCAGAAACAATGCCATATTTAGAAAATTATGCACGCGGTTAAATTATAAACACGGTTAAGTTTCTTCCTAATTCTAGAACATTTATCATCCGTGTATATCAATATTATAGGTGGAGGCTGTTAAATCGTGAAGCTGTCAATACGAAAAATCTTCGATTAATTCTTCACGACGCACAAGGGTGGAACTAGCATTTGAGTTATAGGTTCGACAAAATCAGTAATTTTGTATTAAATTCTTATTTGTCTTAAAGGAATCACTTGAATATGCATGAATTGTTAATTTAAAATCCAATTACTTCAAAAACTAAATTCCTGATCTCATAAACTTCAAATTCTAGCTTTGGACTGAATTGGTATCAAAATTTGTAGTTAAAATCGAATTCAAAAATTTCTTCTGCGACACATGTATCACGTGTGTATCACACACGCAGGTATACAAGGATATACATGTGATTCACATTTGATACAAATATGATACATATATGATTCACAAGTGATACACAGTGTGACACATATATCATTTTTCCATATTCGTCTTCCACTTCGAATTTTCGATTTAAATCATCTCAAAACTCCACCAAATCATCCCAAAACTGATATTCAAGCTCCTTAAGATGTACACAATCTATTTTAATAACACCCACTCAAAAGAAAGCAAAATTTTGACTTTTTTTGGCTACAAATAGCTAATTGGCTAATGTTAGTAATATTTTATGAATTGACCAATTTTTGTAATAAGCTACTTATAAATGGACATAGCTGGTATTTTCCCAAAATTGAATACCCTTTTCATTCATCTGGCCCTTGTATTATTATGTTTTTTGTTTAAATTTGTTTCTCCTATCAATACTATGTTGTCCAACTTCCACAACCAAAACCTGTGATAACCTTGTTAATTGTTTCTTTTTTAAGTTTTCCTACTGATGGGTTAACATTGTTGTAGTCAAAATCATGCCTTGTTCTGATTTTCCTCTGCTAACCTATGTTTTCAATTATATCTTAATAAACTTCTCTTCTCTCGCTATATTTTATAAGGTAAAAAATAACATCTTAGGTGTTATTTTGAGTAAAATAATGCCAGACTAGGTGGGATGGTAATAGTAGTATAGATAACATATGAATATTGAAAGCAAAGCAATAAGCCGTGCGCTAATGGCTTTCAAGTCAGAGGTGGAGCCACGATTTCAGCTTTATGGGTTCTTGATTTTGGAATAACGACGTCAGATGCGAACAACTGGGTTCTAAATTTGATATTTGTCCATTTTTAATAAATTTCTTAATATAAATACACAATTTGAGCCAAAAGCTACTGGATTCGACCGAACCCGTAGTCGGGCTTCTAGCTCCGCCCCTCTTTCAAGCAAATGCCATGTAGCAAGTGTGCTGAGCAAAAGTAGCATCAACCAACCAAGAAAACTACGTAGTGGAGTATTATTAATGTGAAAGTGGTCGACCTTATATTATAAGCAATCAAAATATATCAGCTACCTTTTGATGCCAACTTAACCATTTCTAAAAGAATGTGTATAGATGACAATACCTAGGACAAATGTTTGTTTTTCATTCAAATTCAAACATCATCTTTAAGGATAAAGATATGCCGATATAGATTACTTTCAGTACGTATTATGTTTCCAAAGGTACGGAAAAAGTCTATAATAAAACGTTTTCCCTTAACAGTAGTGTTTGTTGTATATTTATGTAAATCTTAGATGTCATCATATATGGAGATAACTGCACTCGAATCGAAGGTGTGACCTAGCGATCAATAAAATGGATGAAAATTAAGATTGAAACAAAAGAATGATAGATGATTTTTTATTTATTTGCCTAACCCTTCATGAAAGAATTGTCGGCCTTTATTTACACTAGTAGCCGAGGGTCAGGGGCATATTTAGGGGGGCGGAATGGAGTTTACCCGAACCCCCTTCACCGAAAAATTACAGTGTATATATACAAAATCTGTTTCTTACATCTATATATTATGTTTTGAATCCTCTTGACACAACCCAAATGAATAACTCAGTAGTCATGGGGTTCAAAAGCTTTGTGAGGTCATAGTTCAATTCCATTGGTTACAATCTTTTTCAATTTTTTAACTTTTTTCTTTTTTGAACCCCCTTAACGGAAATGGTGCTTCCGCCACTACCGAGGGTCTATCGGAAACAACCTCTCTATTTTCACAAGGTAGACATAAAGTCTGCGCTTACATATTATTTTCCTAGACACCATTTGTAGGATTATACTGAGTTTGTTATTATTGTATCTGCACTACTAGAAGGTAACATGTACTATTTGATGTATATGCAAATCATAGGTGTGAAAATATATGGAGATTATTAGTGAATCTATGAAAGTGATTTTAAAAAAGAGTGAGTTGGACTTCTTGCATTGGTCCCAACAAGTTCTTAATAAGACAAAAATGCAGGATGAGGAAACCTAGATGAAGGCTGTCAACGACAACAACAACTCATAAAACCAAGAAGAAACTTTACTACTTTCTTGTATTTATCTTAGGTACCACAAGAAATGAAACAACTCATAAAAAGTAGTATTCATTCATTTGTACCTTCTTCTATCTAGTTTGCACATAATTATGAGATTCCATAGAGGAATTTTTGTCCTCTTATTTCATCTTTCATTCCAAAGAGGTGTTAGAATCCAATCCCCAACAAGAAAAGTCTGATAAAGAAAATCACCAATTTGACCAAGTAAATGAGAAAAACAATGCAAAAACTTACAACAAGAAAAAGCCAAATATTTCACTTTGCTTTAAAAAGTCCACCAAAATCTAAGTACAAACCAAAATAAACTAAACATTTTTATATGATAATAATTTGATCATATGTCTAATTTGTTATGTAGGTGATGGGGTTAAACCCTTTTCATTACCATCAAATGAAATATTATTAATACTATTATTATACCTGCTAAGCACCTTGCACTTGACCACATTGTCATAGACATAGAACCCAGGTGTGACCATGATTCGAACCATGGCTGGAACCAATTTCTTAGCTTTATCTCCACCCATATCTTCCATATAAACTGAGTCAAATTTCATTTCTTTATCCACTCTAAAAATAGGCAGTCCAGGGTGCAGTGAATTAGCCAATAAATGCACTAACCACACTGCTTTTGATGCACCAAAAAAAGCTTGTAAAAGTGGTTCAGGCCAAGCACGGTTCCAACCTAACATAGCCACAATTTCACTCATTTTCCTATCACAAAATTTACTGAATTCTTCACTGTAAAATCTTGTCCCTTTACTCAAAACTTCTTCCCATGTTAAATCCTTCAAACGATTATACAAACCAAAATTTGCTTCACAACGATCAATGGGGTTCAAGATTTGATTACAAGAACCTTTTTGAAATCCAATTGACTCAAAATCCTCATAAAAAGCTTTGTTTAATAAAGCTTCAAGATACACAATTAACCCTCTTGGGTTTCTTGAAATTGAAACCTTAATATCATATGGTTGAAGAAGTAATGCAATTCGATCATAAACTTTACCACCAATTTGTCTTAACTGAAATGTCATTGATCGGCTTAAATTCCTAACAGAAGATCTTGCCTCAGAAACCATAACCAAGAAATGTTCAATAACTTTATCTTCTTCACCAAATTTAACACGTTGGAGATGAGGGGATTTGGTAATTTGGTGCTGAGAATTAACATTGTTGCTACAAACTTCAAGCCCAGATTTCAAACTATGACAATAAATTTCAAGCTTGTTTAACTTTTTTTCAAGCTCAACCATAGAAAACTTCAATCTTGATGCTTCTAAAATAGCTTCATCTCTTTTTCTTGTAGCTTGAATTAACTTATGTGAAAGTTCAGCTACTGCTATTTTCCATTGTTCTTCTCTTGACCCTCCAGTAGAAGACTCAACATCTGAAGATGATGATAATCTTGGACTTTTTTTAACTAAAGTTGAGAGAACTGATTTGAATATACCATGTGGACTTGTTATAGAATTGTTTTTGTTGTCTAAAGGAACTACATGAGTAATTCTCTCTCTGTTACTTGGCCTGCATTTGTTGCATAAAACTCCTCTGTCATCTTCTCCATTTTCTGGCCTCTTTTTTGTACACCCTTTGCCTTTATTCTCTGTATTATTAGAGTGTTGATGTAAAGGTGTAGGATGGTGTCTGTATTCAACTTCACTTGGTGTTGTCTCTGCTCTAAAACTGTTTCTCCCCTGTGAATATTCCTCTTCTTCATTCCCTTCTTCTATCTGCATCAACAAAAACACAAAAAAACACAAAAAATGAAAATCACATACCAAAGGGAGTTTCGGTACACAAAGCTCCCGTTATGTGCGGGGTTCAGGGAAAGGCCGGACCGTAAGGGTCTAGTGTACACAGCCTTACCCTGCATCTCTACAAGAGGCTATTTTCACGGCTCGAACTCGTGACCTCCAGGTCACATGAAGGTGACATGGCACCAACTTTACCGCTTGCGCCAAGGTTCCGGTCGAAAATCAGATACTAAATATCTTAGTAAAAAAAGACAAGAACCCAAAAGAGGAAAAGGAAAAAGAGATTGAGTGTACACTTACAGGAGTAAAAAGAGGGGGATGACGAGGAGAAATGGAGGATTTTGAGGAAGAAGAAGAAGAATTAGCCATGGTAATTGAGTGTAAATGAGAAAATGTTGTTCCTTGTTTTGTATGAAAATCTTAAAGATGATGATGTTGTGAGGGCAGTTTCGTTCTCTTTTCATTGTCTCTTCATTTTCTTAAGGTTGTGTTTTTGTGTTTTTTCGTCGGCTTGTAATCATGGTTTTGAATGAATCACACAACAGATTTTGCAGGTTTCTGAAATCTGTAAGCTATATTTACAGCTTCTTCTAAGCTAACCCCCCACCCCCACCCCACACCCCTCCCCCCACGCCAACTACCCCCTAGTCGTGGAGAAATACAGAAGAATCAGAATTTACCAGGTCAGAATTTATTAGTATCACGCGCTACAGGAGCGTTTTAGGAGTTAAGGATGGTTTGCTATGACGTGACACATGGAGCGTATGTTACACTTGTCAATGTGGAGTTGGGTCTTCTTTATGACTTATGAGTCAAATGTCAATGACTTAATTTCCAATTAATATTGGTTTTCCTCTTTTTCCAATTTGGACACCTTTTAATTATAGTCATTTAAATGGAGTATATTGATATGGTAAAACTTTTAAACTAATACTTAAAAATTGATGTTAAGACGACGACAACGACGATGACTCAATAAAAATTCTACAAGTGGGGTATATGGAGGGTAAAGTGTACACAGTCTTTACCCCTATTTCGGAGGTAGAGAGGCTGTTTTCGAAGAAGAAAATAAACAATAGACAATCGACAATAAATTAGTGATTGCAATAGAAAATAAATATAAAAGCAATAACAATAACCAGTACTAATGCCATAGAAAAAAATGTGGAAGCTACATAAACCACTAACAAACCCAAGGCGAAACATTATCAGCCTAGTCCCGCCCCCGGAAACAACATAGAAAAATGCTGGACTCCCTCCTAACCTACAACCTTAATGCTCGATCTCTATACCTTCCTATCCAGAGCCATGTCCTCGGAGATCTGAAGCAGCGTCATGTCCTGCCTAATCACCTCACCCCAATACTTCTTAGGCCGCCCTCTACCTTTCCTCGTACATGCCAATGTCAACCGCTCACACCTTCTAACCGGGGCATCTATGCTTCTTCTCCGCACGTGCCCAAACCATCTAAGCATCGCTTCCCGCATCTTGTCGTCCATGGGAGCCACGCCCACCTTCTTCCAAATATCTTCGTTCCTAATCTTATCCAGCCTAGTGTGCCCGCACATCCATCTCAACATCCTCATTTCTGCCACTTCATCTTCTGGGTATGAGAATTCTTGGCTGCCCAACATCCAGCCCATACAATATAGCTAGTCTAACCACCGCTCTATAGAACTTGTCTTTAAGCTTCGGTGGCACTTTCTTATCACACATGACTCTGGATGCTAACCTCCATTTCATCCACCCCACCCCTATACGGCGCGTGACATCCTCGTCAATCTCCCCATCCCCCTAGATAATATACGCAAGGTACTTGAAACTTCCTCTCTTGGGGATGACTTGTGAGTCAAGCCTCACGCCAAGTCCGTTTCCCCCGACGCATCGCTGAGCTTACACTCCAAATATTCGGTCTTAGTCCTACTCAACTTAAGATCTTTAGACTCTAGGGTTTGTCTCCAAACCTCCAGCCTCTCATTAATGCCGCCTCGCGTAATGTCACGTAAAATTTTGAATTAAATAGTTACATAAATTTATGAAACTTATGTAGAATAGAGTATTATTTTTGATTCACTCTAAAACAATTTGAACGTTAATAATGATTTGCATTTAAACTCACACAAAATTAACTTTTGAATAAAAAATCTAAAAATGAAAATAATTTGAGATTGCGTAGGGTGGACTAGTGAAACTGTTTTTTCACGCTAAGCTCGGTTAAAGAAGTCGACTTTGATAGCAGATGAGTAAATTTACTACTACTATTTGTTTTAGAATGAATTCAAACACTTTTAAGGAAAATCTTAATACTTAATAAAAGAAATAATATGAAGTCATTAAGTTGTTGGTATGAAATCTTTTAAAATATTAATTTTGATGCCCAGCCTTACTACTTTGACCCAAGTATTATTAATTTCACTTGGAAGGTAGATACCAAACAAGTTACTGAAAATTATATTGTAATAAAAATAATCTTGACCAAGAAACCAAATAATTATAAGACCTGGTAATTTCATACGTTTAAAATAGGCAGTTGTTGTTAGATTGACCAATTACGCATGACATGCATTTTATTAATTTTTGGCCTTTTGTGTCCAAAATAATTCTTAAAGTTAGCATTAAGAGATTTCCTTTTGTGTCACTCACTATTATATTTATTAAGTGCTATCAAATTTCTCATTAATTTCATCTAAACTTTTCAAATTACTAAAGGGGAGAAGCATCTAGTGCTGCAATTAACATTTTTTCCTTAAGTAAAGAAAAGAATAAAAATAGTTTTTTTACATTTGGTGAAGAAAGAAATACTCTAGTACATTTGGTGAGACTCTTAAATACTTTCACATGAAATGAATTTAATAAAGAGTTAAAATTCATCTTAGATGTATTACAAGTAAATATGAAGTAGAAAAGATGTAATTATTTATTTATTTATTTTTGTAAAAATTATGCAATTAGAACTTAGAAGGAGACCACGATCATGATACTCAATGGGGACATACCAAGTAGTAATTATTAAGAACACTTGCTAGCTACTTCCTTCATCATTTTGGGAAGCAGTAAATAATTTGATATCAATTCTTACAAATAATTTAACACATAGGAATCATCAGAGAAAAGTTGATATAAATAAATAGGATTTAAATTCAGTTCGTCGCACTATCTTGAAGAAGTTTAGTCTTTTATTATTGCTAATAAAAAACTGAAAAAATTACTTCTTTGAAAAAATATTCTAATGACCTTTGGTTGAAACAAACGCCACTGCGTATATACAAGTAATCTACCATTAAGGCACTTGAATGCAAAATTAATTGGAGTCGACTATATGAGTTCTTTGTATGTAATTTATTTTCATTTTTTGGCTAATAATTTTTTTTCCAGACAATAAGATATTTGGAAACTCGTTATAATAAGACTATTTTTATGGTAAAAATTTATGTTTACACGGGCCATAAAATCTCTTGTCGAAAATCTCTGTAATAGTCATCCTTTATAATAATACTTCACTATGAGCCCTATCGAATCATATCAAAAAGGGCATGAGCGGCGGGCCTTATGTTGAGTAAGGGGGGAGAAGGTGCCCCTTCTGCTAAGTTGGAGCTAGGGAAGTTAATGTGAACGTCACTGTGTTAAAACACAAAATCAGAAAGAAAAAAAAAAACTGTTAGAAGAATTAAAGAAATCTGAAAAATAGTAGAGAATCAGAAATATTCCGAGTCCACAAGTTTCTTGTGTGTCCTTAAGGAATTTTAACCCCCTCACAAGTTGCCAAGGTAATGGATTAAATCCTCCCAGGATAAAACGGAATAAACCTTCCTGCAACAGTGGCAATACAAACTGCAGGATCCCAACGAACTCAAAGAACGGAGCAAAATCACACTTATGAATTGGAGAGAGAGAGACTGCGAATTAGGATGCAGTATATTCAAAAAGAAAGAAATTCTGGAGTGTTTTTCGTGTGTAGAAAATGGAGCCTTGCCTCAGAATTTATAGGCAATTATCAGAAGAGGTGTCTGGAAAAGGTGCCTTTTCAGAAGAATTCGCGATTACGGCAGAACCGCGGTCAGAGAGGCTCTCTGAATCTGCCTGCCACGGTTCTACCGCGGTTACGGCAGAACCGCGGCCATAGAGTCCCTCTGAATCTTCAGCAGGGTTCTGGCGTATTTTCAGCAGTGATTTGGCATTTAATTTATTATTACATAATTAAATAAATTTTGTCCAAAAATAATCTTATCGATCGAGCGACGACGACGGCGCGAGGGTTCATTCTCTTCAACTCCTTTTAAGAGCTTTAAGAAGTGATTCTATATATAAGCACACAAATGTGATTGTCCCTCACCAATTAGGGACAAAGTGCAAGACAAAAGTTCACTTCTTCAAATTTTCATTTTTCCCTCCATTTTATTTTCCTCCATTTCCAATTCACACTTCTTCTACTTTAAAACCCAATGGCTTAAAGTCCAATAATCCCCCACATGAATGGGAATGGCTGTATCAAGAAAGATCATAGATGAAAGCCGTGTGATTTGCAAGTAAGGATCAATTGCATCTGGATAAGTAGGTTTCCCTTTGAACTTTCCGCAGTGAACATATGTCAGATATACTCGGTCAATCGGTAGATTTGATATCTTTGAACCGTCGAACTTTAGTGTATACCTAGACAACCATATGTCACACAATCAACCCTTAACCGTCTTTTAGGTCTCATTGTTGTGTTCGTTTCAGCCATGAACACCGCCTGGTCTCATAAGTGCGTAGAGAATTGGCCTTACAGAATTCTCATTGAAGCGGCTTCCACTTCACACTTACATAGGTGATTCCTAAACGTGTAATCCTTTAGATTGACACTATTTGATAACTACCACATCAAACTTAGGTAATCATTAAAGAACGTGTAAAGTTCTATCCTTGTTACTGAACATTGTCTTCATCACGAGAAGGGACCAAAGATTTTACTTTGACAATGTTGAACCGGTCAATCACAACTTTGTTTGAGCTCCTTGAACCTAGATCTTGGAACATCCAAAATTCTAGGTAGAGTTACCGCCATGTTGACTTGTCCTCGGCCATAGTCCCATTCCCTTAGATGATTTCTCAACTCCCTCTCTAGTTAAGCTTTTTGTAAGCGGATCCGCCACATTATCCTTTGATCTTACATAATCGATAGTGATAATTCCACTAGAAAGTAGTTGTCTAATGGTGTTATGTCTTCGTCGTATATGACGAGACTTTCCGTTATACATAACGCTCCCTGCCCGTCCTATTGCAGCCTCACTATCGCAATGTATGCAAATAGGAGCCAAAGGTTTTGGCCAGAACGGAATGTCTTCTAAGAAATTTCGAAGCCATTCAGCTTCTTCACCGGCTTTATCCAAAGCTATAAACTCTGATTCCATTGTAGAGCGAGCGATGCACGTTTGTTTGGAAGACTTCCAAGATACTGCTCCTCCACCAACAGTAAAAACATATCCACTTGTGGACTTTGTTTCTGTTGAGCCGGTTATCCAATTTGCATCACTATATCCTTCGATAACCGCAGGATATTTATTGTAGTGCAAAGCGTAGTCTTGGGTATATTCCAAA